CTCACACACCGGAGGCAGGATGGGAAGAGGGACCGGAGGGAGCCTTGATGCCCATGAGGCGATGTCAGGTTTGAGGGAAGGGGTGGGGTCCGGGCAGAGGGGAGAGGGGGCAGGCACAGCCTCTTGTGGGCAGGAGTGGGGGGCGCACCTCGGTCAGCTTGCAGGGCCCAGGAGCAGCGGGAGGCCACTCTAGCAGGCCAGGGGTCAGCAGGCTACAGAACACGGGGACACTCTTCCTCTCCTTTGGCCCCTGTTGCCCCTTGGGGCTCTGCACAGGCCGGGACACTTGGCAGAGGGCACTCGGCAGGAGAGATCTGCCGGAATCCTTGATTTCCAAAGGTCTCTGGTGGCAAGAGAGGAAACGGAGGGGCCATGAGGGCGGTGGGGAAGCTGGCACGGGCCACCGGTAAGGCCAGGACCCCCAGGAATAATGGGTTCGAGGAGAACAGGAAGACCAGACGGGACTTGGGGGCTGAGAGGGAGCAAGGGCTTGGTCTGCGTCTCTGTTTGCCCAGGGGTGTGGGCTGCCTGTGTATCCCGCCCCCCAGACTTGGGTCATCTAGGTGCTGACCAGGGCCCCGCAGGGGAGGTGGGCATTCCAAAATAAGAGGCAAAATGTTGGTCAAAAGGGAGCCCAGCCCTGGCATGTCACCACACGTTGGGGCCCCGGGGAGAAGGTCATCTGCTCCTTCACCACAGATGGAGGGAAAGCGGCCTGGGCTCCAGCACAGCCTTCTGGGCAGGGGCCGTCCAGCCCCGATGGCCTTTGGCCCTCACACTTACAGTCACGGCAATAAATCTTCCCAATGGGCCAAGTTTTCCATCCGCAAAGCTCTTCCCCATCCAGCATCTTACACTGGCTTCATTCGAACAGCCCTGGTGCTGGGCTGGGCAGGAGGAACAGCCATCGCAGGCGTCCAGAGACTGAGGCCCGGAGAGGCGACCTGACCTGCCCAGGCAGGGAAAGAGGGAGGGATTGTGATGTCAGGTGCCCGATAAGTGGTGGGTACCAGACACGCTCACTCAGGCTGCAGCTAGAAAGTGTCAGGAGCAGAGCTTGAACTCATGGCTGACCCCCGGTCCAGGGCGGCTCTGTCCTCCTGAGACAGAGGCTAGCAAGGGTCTGAGGTGGGGCCACACTCCACTCCCTGTGCCAACATGTCTTCTGAGACCAGAAGCCAGAGGAGCAGGGGCCCAAGACAAGCATAAATACCCATAGCAATTATCCAGTCTGACAGTGACCACTTCTGTCTTACACACGGGGAAACTGAGGCTCTGGCCAGGACCAGACCCAAAGAGCCTGCTGTTTCCCAGATCATGGAGTGGCTGGAGCCGGGTGGGTAAGTCCCATGTATTCCCAGAGCTCTGTGGGGTGCAGCCATCCAACAGTGCTTGCGTTTGGAATGTGAGACAAAGAACTGTGGGTGTAAATTCAGAAGGAAGGGTTCCGGGCCAAGCTCGCGGCTAATAGCGGCCCTGGGAGTCGCAGGTCACTGGGGTAAAGCGGCTCGGGTCAGGAGGGCTGAGGAAGGCCACACCACAGCCAGCACCCGCCATCTTCAGAAACCCAGAGGGTGCAAGGGGCCGTGACGGTGCGCGGCGGGGCGCCCCACGCCCTCATCCCTCCGTCTGCCTTCCTCCTCCCTCTGTCCCTCTCGTCCTGGAGGGCAGTCCCAGGGCTGGGCACAGGGCATACCGGGGTGGGTCAGCAGCCGTGATCCGGCCCCCTTGGTGCTCCATTGTCAGTTCCTCGTCTGCAAAACGGACGTCGTGGCGGCCATGTCCTGAAGTTGTTGGAAGGGTGCGCTGACACGTGTGGAAGGCCGGGGTGATGGCAGCTGTGTTCATGTCACTGACTGTAGATAATAATGGCGGTGGTGATTAGCTGCAAGCCAGCTCCCTGCCTGGCATTCACGGCAGGCAGTGCAGGGCCCCTCCCCGCCCCCCTCCGCCGCTTCCAGCTTTGTGTCTCACACCCAGACCAGACCCTTCTCCCATCAACATGCCAGGTTCACCCCAACCTCGGGCTTTTGTTCAGGCTGTTCCGCCGACCCCGGAAGGTGCTTCCCTTGCTCCCCAAATCCCACTCGTCTCTCGATCCCTTTCCTCACCAAGACACACACACGCTTCTCCAGCCTTCGTGTATCTTGGGCTCCCCGGGGAGTCAGCACTACCTTCTGGCACACATTTTTAGCTCCTTGCCATTACAGGACCTGGGCTTTGAGGCTGTATAGGCCTGAGTTCAGATCCTGCTTCCCCTCCCTCTGAGCCACGGCTCCCTCACTTACAAGGTGGGGGCAATTACAGCACCCAGTGCAGGGAGTGCCTCAGGCTTGGTGTGGGGTCAGGGGCACTGCAGGTACTTTGTAAGGAATAGGCCATTATTACGGTTCTATCTCTTTGGGTTCCTGCTATGCTTTCCACCTCCCAAGCCTGCCCTTCTTTGTTCCACACTGCCTGTGTGGCGGAAGCCTTAGGAAAAAGAGCTCCCAAAAGGGACAGGGACTTCACCAAACTTCCTCTTCCTTTAGATATGGGAGAAATTTGGAGGCTGGGAGATTCCTCCGTTTTCTCTGAAATCACCCCAGGCAGGAGGTCACTCACTAGCAGGACAAACCAAGATGGCTGGAAAGTTCCCTGTAATCCAGGTTTCAAAGCCATCCCAATAGAGTGATTGGAGGCTTGGGAGGTAAGGATCATGCTGGGGAGAGATGGTCTGATACAAAAATGTGATACACTGGGCAGCTGAGTGCCAGTGATGTGCACAGAAGCAGGCGGTCTATGCCCTGTGTGGGAGTGTGGCTTTGCTCTCTGGCTTCCCCGGGCTGCGATTTTTTAGTACTCGTCACAGATGGGGTACCCAGTGTCTTCAGTAGTGCTGGGAGGTTAGCCAGGTACCTATCCCAGAGAAATTGCTCCGTGCACAGTGAGGCCTGCCCAGGGCCGTTTGTGGAAGCAAAACAATAGAAATCATTTAAATGTTCAATAGGGGACTGGACAAGAAACGACGGGCCAGCTCACATGGTGGAATAGTGCTAAGCTGTTAAAAAGCAGGTGGTTGTATGTCTGCGGACCCAGAACAACGCCCATATGACATTCAGTGAAAAATGAGGCACCTTGCAGAACAGAACATGCAGAACGTTACCACTTATGTGAGAAGCACACACACCTCTACATCCATAGTTATAGATACAGTTGATGCAGATATAGACGAAGGTATAGTCACACCCGCAGATGGAAATGTACATACAGAGGGAAAGATACAGACATATACACAGGATAGCAAAACGTTCAAGGGCATACCCACTAACAGGCAGTAATGTTTGAGGGGAATGAGGCTCAGGAAATTCAGGGGAATTACTCCGGTTTTTGTCTGCTACATTTTGTTAATGCTTGAGATATTGCAAGGAGAACGTTTCCCTGAAATATGTGCATAACGCTAAAAATTAAAAAAGAAAAGAGCCTGGCCACGTGTCTGGCATCTCAAGGCAGGGCTGGGCCGGGATCTCACGGGAGGCTGCTCTGTGGGGGTCAGGCCCGCTGGGTAGTCTCAGGCTGAGCCTGGAGCTCCTTCCTACACCAGCTGTGGCTCTTTCTCCCCAAGGCCAGAGGCAGAGAGAACTGGCTTTGGTGGCAGCAGCAGCACATGCAGGTTTCCTAGTCTGGGAAGTCTGGAAGTATGTGAACGCTGAGCACTTACCCTGCAAGATGGGCTCACTGCCACCCCAAGATGCAGGGAGAGCCCTGGAACCTGGCAGATGGCCACCTCGGAACATGTAGGCACAGAAGCGGGTGAGGGTCCCGTGAGCCCCAGGCCTGTGGTTCCCAGACTGTGTGTTCCCAGACTCTGCTTGCACCTGAGCCGGATGAACACTGTGCCCCTTGCTTACACAGACCCGCAGCCAACGAGGCCATGGGTGGGAGCTGAGAGAAGGCCATTCATGTACATCCTGGGTGCTGGACCCTGAGCTAAACGCTTTTCCTGCTGTGTATCTTTGGCCTTCCAACAATCGTTTAGAATCGTTCTTTTTTATTTTAATTTTGGGTTTGTTTGTTTGTTTGTTTGTTTTGGACAGACAGAAGTTGAGGAGGTTTTTCAACCTGATGAGGACAACAAAAGGTTAAAAGCCTTCCAACAACACAAAAGGATATATAGTGAAAAGCTGATCTTTTCCTCACCTTCTCTCCCCAGCCACCCAGCTCCCTCCCCAGAGAATCCACGCACATGAACATGTGTGTGTCTATTCACACCCCTCCTCTGATACTAGTGGAAGGTCTCCACACAAAACGTTCTGTACCTTGCCCTTTTCACTAAAAATATGTATCTTAGAGCTTCTTCCATTGCGGTACATGCGAGCTGGCTCATTCTTTTTCATGACTGGATTTCCATGGCACATGGAAGTCTTTAATATTCATGTAATCGATCTAGAATTCTACTCCCATGGTTTTCTGCCTTTCCCCTGTGCTTACTTCTGTTGTGCACAACAGCCCTGGGAGGCGGGCGGTTCCCCATGTCCCAGGTGAGGGAACTAGGGTGACCGACCATCCCCGTTTGCCTGGGACTGTCCTAGTTTTAGCAGGGAAAGCACCGCATCCTGGGGAAATCCTCATTCCTAGGCAAACCAAGATGGTTGTTCGCCCTAAAGGAAACCGAGGCTCAGAGGGGGTAGGGACATTCTCCAAGACCTTGTGCTCGGTCAGCACAGGCTACCTGATGATGACAACACCTCAGGAGGACTGGCAGCATCTCCTGCTTAGTAAGTGTTTCCTCCGTGTGTAACTGCACCTCCTCTGGTCTCACCACAGCCTGGGAGGGAGACTGCAGGGAATCACGAACAGAACCTGTGGTCTCCAAACCTGGGTTCCATCTCGGCTACAGGGCTTGCTCGCGTGTGTGACCGTGATGGTCAGTTCCATCTCAGCCTCTGATCCTGGGCCCAGAACAGACACTCAACAAGTGTCTGTTAAGTGAGAAAGCAAATGAATGAATGAATGAATGAATGAATGAATGAAGTACTAACATTTGTTATTCACATTTTATAGGTGGAAAAACTGAGGCACAGAGAAGCAAAGTCACTGACTCAGAATCACACAGCTTGTACACATCAAGGTCAGGATTTGAATCCACGTGGAGGCTCCAGAGCCCATGAAACTCTTCCCTCTTCTGGAATGTTCTTGTCCACATTACCCTCCATTCGTGCCCCCCTGCCTCTGACTCCCAAGGTCAGTCCCTAGTTCACTCCCTCCTTTGCTGCCCTGCACTGCCCAGGCCCCTGCTTCCTTTCTCAAGAGTCTGCCCTTCCCTGCTCCTTGCTCTTGGCTCAGGGGCCCTGCTCTGCACCCCACTCTGTCCCCCTGCACTGGATGCTCGTCTGAAGTCCAATGTCTGAGCCCCAGCCTCCTCCATGGACTTTGTTTCATTTGTTCAATTCATTTGTCCAACTCTCCATTCCTTTGCTCAACAAACATTTACTGAAACTGAAATGAGCCAGCTCAACCCCTGGTTCTGGAAATTCAGAGATGAATCTAGCCTGGGCCTTGTCCTCAGGGGACAAGGAAAACCAGACAAAGAAACAGCACTTGTGACCCCGCAAGAAAGCACTCCGGTGGAGATGGCCCAGGCACACAGCGGCAGAGGGAGTGGCGGTGGGGAGCTCCCAGCCTGGGGGCCCTGGGAAAGCTTATGCCAGCGTCTGGAAAGATGAGGAAGAGTCAGTAAGACAGAGAGAAGGGGGAAAAGAGAGAGCTCGGGGAGGGGCGTTGTAACACCCAGACAAACCGGTCTGGAGGTAGGTGAGACCAGAGGCACTTAGAAAGTGCAAGTTGTTCCCTACAGCTGAGGC